GGATAACTGGAAGACTATGTAGTGGAACGCTTCTACGAAGAAAATGCGATTTTTGAAATGTAAACATTATTGTACTCGTTTTGTTTAACTGTACCAAAAACACTTCTACTACCTGTCGCGCGCTACGTTCTCTTCGCGTTGCCGCCATGTTTCTCTGTTTGCTGCTCCTGATGTAATGCCAACGTTCTCCTTAAATAAAACCATGGAGTATTGATTTATTTTGTTCTCCTTTTCGTGACGCGACCGTATGGAACATTTAGTGGTGAGCATAGTCAATCAGGTATCTGGATTTGCTAACCACAATTACATCCCTTTTCAAATTTACCTACGCCAGATGAATATGATTCAGACTAAGAGTGGTTCAGTCCTAGTCCTCGGGGTGACAAACCCGCATACACGGCCTCGCAACCATGAACACGTACCATTATTCTGGACCATGCTGGGCACGGCGTCATGAGCGTTCGAAGCAACTTTAGCCTCAGCGATGTTGCAACCGCCACGTTTCTATCGGGACCACGAAGAAGTATTCGCCACCACAACCCCCAAAAGGCTCCATTTATGCACGTCACTGTATACGCCAGCACAAGGGTATATATATATCACCGATCGCGTCCTTGTAATCCACTTGCCACATTTCATAGGTTTTCTTGTCGTAAATATTCAGAATTATTATGAGAAATAATCCATTCCGTAACAAGCATATTTTGTTCCTGAGACATCAAGGGTTGGTCATCTACTTATGAATACTTCCTGAAACCGAAGAAGTTGAACACTTCTTTTTGATGTTGCCTCTGCATTAAACCAGATACAATTTTTATATTGACCATCACCACCGCTCAAGCTGACCTTGTTGTTGTGTTAGGGCATACACTTTCTGACTGAATCCAACGTTGATTTGATCTAGATAGATCAGAAAATACTAGCCTTTTGCACACCCGGAATATCTAGCCAATTTTGTCCCGGGTATGGATGGCTGGAATTAATCATGATTTCTTTTTGGAATTCGTTAGACTCGATCATAGTAATCTCGGGGGAGCGAATGTTTCTGTAGATATCACCGATGTGTACGTTACTTCAAATATCCGAAGAGTTAGTTCATACCTTTTTAGCATGCACTTATAGAACAAATGTTTGGCCATCTGAGTAGGACTTCCTAACTGTCTTATCTGTTACTGGGTAATGAAATTTCAAATATGTTTTTTAGGTTGATAGTCTTTCTCACTAACAAAGTAGGTGACCTGTGTCGCTGATTGTGGTCCTACTCGAGTTTGACGGGAATGTTGTGACCACCAACTTTCGTTAAAATCAGTCTTCACTGATACTTCTCAGCCTGGATTATGCTACTGTCATGACCATGTGACTGACTGCAATAAATACTCTCAATATGCAACTTCATATATAATTGTATTAATAGTTAACAGAAGTGAGAGGCTGAACTGCTGCCGCATACGCCTGTCCACAGAATGCAATTTACTGATTTTGTGTTGACTTTCCTCAACCTTCATGAGTATTGATAAACTGTTAGACTCTTATCATCTGGTTTGTCCGACGATTTGGCCAATAAGTGATGACATTTCACTGGTCCTACTGACTTACCTGTTGAGCATGAAAACCAGCAAACTGTAAGAAGAGTGGACTATGAGAAAGATAAACGTCAAATTTTTGAGTGATTTTATGGTTTAAATGCCATAACAGACTACCTAAATACAGGGACACATAATAACCGTGTACAACATCATCAGACGAGAGGTACCGAAAAAGGCAATGATATTTTTCCTCTCCAAGTTCAATTTATGGTTTCGCATGCTGTTACGCACCAAGACTACTGTTAATGAAATAATTTCTGGTAAAGTAACACTGATTTTTCCGCGAGCTTAATTTTTGATTGTGTTTTACAGTCTATTGGCTTCTCTTTGTTTTCTGCAAATTGTGATATTACCGTCTTTTCGGCCATCAGCCTTTGTCTCTAGTTGTCTAATTTATTTTAGAAACCTTAGGTTCACCTTGCTGCAAGTTTATAGACTAGAAGCCTAATGAACTCACTAGAAAACCAAACCAGGTCTCCAGAATTAGCATTTAAAATTCTCAACGAAAGGAGCTCATACCATAGAATAGACATAAATTGAGGGAGTAAGGGGCTTTTATCCGTGATGACTTGTCGATTGCGGACTGTATTACAAAACAAGAGGCTGAAAACGAAATGAAATGAAGGTGAGATGCTGGTGAGGCTTCGAGAGTGAACGATGCCTGAGCCACTTTGTGTACAGCACGGTGTCAGTTAAATGATCTCCAGGTATACTGCACTAATGCCAGGAGCCCACTCAACAAGCTATCAGAGTTAGATCCACAATTAAAATGGACGAGACTGTCATCATGGAAAAATGGCTTACTCAGTGTATGGACAACAATGCACTTGACTTCGAAAATTTCACATTGACTAAGGCCGACAGAATGCAGAAGCATAAAGCTGTTAGGAGTAGACTTATTCATTAGCTCTCTTCGTCGTTATCGATAACAAATTCCATGAAAGGTGAACTTGCAAACTGGTTAGTTGCCACTTGAAATGTTCAGGACAGGGACTGCTGATTGGCTTCTGTTATTTCAGCCCAAACTGGGAGGTGGATGAGGTCTTATCAAACAAGGTCTACCTATGGTAGTTCATGTTCAATTTTGGGAGACTGTAGTTCATCTTTGGTAGACTGGGATAATCTAGGGACTTAATCGTCAGACGATTCTGTGGAACAGAAATTAGCTGATGCGCTCATTAAAAGTGCCCTAGTGCAACATGCAAAAGAAGCAGATAAGTATGATCGAGATTTCAAATCATCACTAATAGATCTCATGTTAACCCTTTATGAGGATCACAACTCAAATCTCGACTATATTCCACCCTTGCATAAGAATGGCCATGCAGTTCTAGTCATTGATTGCCATATCTTTATCAACAACGGTGTGTCATCTCTGACCAGATCAAGTGTTTACAGGACAAACAAACAAGATTGAATAATAGAACAGGAATCCCTCATTGAACGACTTGTGAGGTATTCAGAAATTTTTACATGAAAATTACTGCATTGCATAATTCTTGAACTATATCAATGGCCTAGTAAGGAGGTCCTCACACTTCTTAATAAGAGGAAAAGAATGTGGTAGAAGGTTAGAACATTCGCAACAGAATCTAAATATCATAAAGCCCGTAATATTTGCGCCTCGACCCTCTGCAAGTCTGGAAGTTTATATGAAGAGAAGCTAGTAAAAGTCTATAGAATACCCACAACGCCTATGCACATCAACCAACGGACCACGAGAAGAGGCAATATATCAGCATTATGAGGAGGCAAATGGACTGCATCAATGGTGGCGGACGATTATTGTAAAGTTCAGGCATTCACAAACTACGTAAGCGAGGTAAGTACCAAATAGGTGCCCATCTACTACATATAAGCCCCTCCATACATACTTTGAACACTACGGCTATTAAGAAACCCGGTGTTCTCGATCACTTGAATAAGATTGATTCAGTGGGACCATATGAAAGACATTCTAGATTACTTCAAAAGGTATATATTTTAATCTGTCGGTAAACGAAGGCAAATTACCGAAAGACTGGCAGAACGACATAATAAGTCCAATCTTAAAAACAGGTGCAAGATGTTAACGTGAGAGCTGTCAACCCGCAAACCTAACTAGCGTGGCTGAGAAAACTTCGAACAGATTAGTTGTAAGGAGCTGGTAAAAGTGGTATTCTTTCAGAGTAGCAGCACGGTTTAACACAGGCATTTAATATTTCACAAACCTGTGAGAGTTTGGTGCACTCTGAAAGATCAGAAGCCACCTGTTGATGCACCTTTCATTAACTTGACAAAGGCTTTTGACAAAGTCACTCCATACAGCCTTCTGTCGAAATTAAGTGCTATTGAGACTGGATGCAAATTATATGGATAAAGAAATACGTAGTTGGACGCCAGCAAAGAGTATGGACTAACTCTAAGTTGTCCAGCTGATAAAATTTACTTTGTGAAAGGCAACAGGGCATAGTTTCAGGGTCAGTTTTGTTCTTTCTGTATGTTAATGACCTTCACATTCTCATATCTTCATAGGTTTTGTTATATTCTGACGATATCAAGATATTGAGAGAAATAAAGGATGAAGGTGATAGTCTATGGCCTCTGAATGGTCTAGAATTTCGGAGTTACCGATAAACGCTTCAAGTTGTATCACGATGCATGTGATCACTGAGGTATAAATAAATATATAGTCGGCCACACTGAGCTACCTTTGAATCAGACATAAAATAACCTAGTACTGTTCAATAGACAAGACTTGAATACTAATGCACATTGCCGTGTGATGGCCGCCAAAGGTTTTAGAACATTGTGATCTACAAGTAGAGGCTTTAACAATGTTGATGGTATGACATTTTCGACTTTGTATACAATATTCGTCCGTCTTAAACTTGAGTACTAAAGACAGGCAGCCTACCTCTGCCTTTAAAAGACAGTGAGATGTAGGAAGAAGTTCAAAGAACTTCAACTAAGTTTATTTTCGAAATCGCAGAGCTGCCACATGAAAAGAGAGTGGTTAAATTAAACCTCTTTCCCTTACCACGAAGGAGGACTGGAAGTGACTTAATTACAGATTCCAAATTACTAAATCCTAAATTCATGGCTAATATGCACTCATTCTTCCTACCTTCCAGGAGAAAATTTAAGAAGGTGCTAAGAATGTTTACCAACTTGCGAAAAATTTCTTGTTAGTTGCCTACCGAACTTATTATTGATTCGTTAACTAAAGGAAGTCCTTTACCCAACATGTAATTGAAGTTCCACCTCCGGATATATTCAAAAGAGGATTGAATCGACTGAATAATCGAAAGTGCAAAGACTAACAGGGGCCAAGAAGCGTCCTGTACTCACCAGACTGAAACTCATCTCAACAGATAAGTTAGGTCAAATACGAAATGACCGCCGCATACCAATTTGTCCAAGGCCGTTAAAACGAAACGGCGGGCGGCTTTGTAGAGGTCTTTGCGCTGTTTTAACCTGTGTCACAACAAATTCAGTTATGGGAGTCTTTGTTTGATATGCGATTGTCTCAAACAATTTTTATTCTGAGTGGAAAATATGCTGACCACTTCGCGCGATTCGGTGGCTACTCTCCCACCCCTCTATCTCTGAAAAAACTGATTGCGTTTGGTAAAGTTGGCTCTCTTCAGAAGTCTGCAGCATTTTTGGCGGATGAACTTCCTGTTCGCCTAGCAAATATTTTGCAAGAAATTTATTTACTTCCTGAACGGCTTGTCAAGACTCCTTCAGCATCTCTTGTAACACGATGGTAGGTTTAGTTTAAAATACTATTCTTGTAGGTATGAACAAAGCTTTTGTGAATTAATGGACTTTGAGAAAGTGAAATGGGATGAAAAAAGTCTGAATCAGTTTAATGAACGCCTTGCTAGTATTCGTAGTCGCCATACGAATGTCGTTGAGATGATGGCACAGGTTTCTGTGTATTTCTTAATCGTTATATCAAATATATTATCCAGGGTGTAATGGAAATGCAGGAAAACCATAAAACTGATATAGTTACAAACAACCAGGTTCAGTACTTCTTGGATAGATTTTATATGATGAGAATCAGTATTCGTATGCTACTTAGCCAGCACTGTAAGTGTATTTTAAACCACTCATTTATCAATTTCTTATCATTGTTCGATTGTTCAACATCATTAGCATCTAAGTATATGTAGTGTTTCACATTGCTAAAGGTATGCATGTTACACATTTTATGATAGTGTCCTACCCAAATGCATTTATGTTTCATATATAAATGTTTTGTTACTTTTATGAGGATTCAAGCCTCGTTTACTGCTTTTCTAGTCCTTTAAAAGATAGTATAGGTAACAATTGAATTAGGCTAAAACTAGTTTATTAACGTTTAGTTGAGCCTAAAAGATGTCCACTATTTATTTCCTATTTTAGTGCTGATGTTTGGTTCAGAGTTGAATAAACATAGAAGATATGTAGGCTCTATTGATCCTGATTGCAATGTTCGAGAAATATTAGATGATGCATATGAGGATGCCAAATTTCTTTGTGAGCATTACTATTCAGCAGCCCCTGAAATAAAAATTCGGGTTCATGGTGGTAAGCTTTTTAATTCCACTTAGTATGTCTCTGTTTTTGATACTTTGAAACCCGTTTCACAATTATTTCGATTGTAAAATAATATGAAATCTCGTAATGTGATAGACGGGATTACTCAAAACAACGTCATCCATTCTCCGTCCTTTAAAAGCAGCATTACCTTATCAGATTTTCTATTCCGAAAATCATTTAGATAGTTAGTATAGCTTAGTATTTAGTGAGATAATAGCTACTGGCCTAGTAGCATACACTTCACTAGCGCAAAATCAAGTTTTTCACAAAGTTTCCAGATTTTAGGGATTTTTTTATTCATCTTCAGCTATCTTACTCATTTACCGTATGGTTCAGGATTGTTAAAGGGGATCACATTTTCTAACTTCTACATATGTTATAAACAAACTGTTTTAGGTTCCTAAAATTTACTGAAATAAATGTTTTATAAATGACTATTAATTATTTTGTAGTTAGTGCTGTGCACACGAATATGATACCCGTTCATTTCGAAGTACTTGAAACGTAGAAATTCTTAGCTTCCCAAAATGTCCATGTCCTACCTTTAAGGTTAGACGATGCCTCATTCGTACGTAAAACTCAAGTAATATATGCTTCGTATATTCTAATCTATATTTGTAACAATGGTGGTTCTGTATTGCTCTTATATTCTTTATGTAAGTCATATTTCAGTCAACAAGCAATGGTTCGGCTAATTACTTCTGTATCATTCTACACATTCAAAGCAATAGCAATATGAAACATGTGGCATGCTTTTGGCTTAGTTTTTGATACTATTAGACTATTGTATCCGGTGCTTAGAAAATGATCAACAAACTTCAGTCATTATAAATTGAGGTTTTGTATGGAATAAAAATTTATGCAATTCGAATGATAGGCAGTTCGCTCATACAATAACAATGCTTCAGCATTAGTTTTTGTTCATTATCATCCTCTTTAGTTTGTTTTGTCTTTGTTTATGTTAATTGCTAGTCATGCATGACTGGTCACTAGGGTTATTTCTCTAAATGGAAGCACGTAGGAACCTAATAAAACTGATTATTCTAATGGTCTTAAAGCAGGTTGCTACGAAGAATATCAACTTATCATCGTTTATATTTATTTATTCTTCAAAACCATAAATTACGGTTGTAAATTAAATTGTCACTTCCGCTGATATGATTTCCATTGGTAGATGACATTTTCTAGTCCTAGTTATCGTACGCACTGTATTTTTAATGATAAAAAAATATATTCTCCCTATTCGCACAAGCGATTCTTTATGTTTTACTTTGCTTAAAATAACTATCGTAGTTTTCTAGCACATTCATAGTTTTTTCTAATATTGAACCTAAGAGATAACGGTTAAGAAGTTTTTCAGATTATTTAGTTGTGATACTTTTTTACATTTCGTATATTTTTGGTTATGTTAACTGCTTTCGTACAACTAAGCTTGTTACAGGTTCAGTAATTTAGGTTATAATGTGACTTAGAGACCGTAGTGCTATTGTGATACAATATGATCTGCGAAACTATCTTTGTTGGTCGATTGACGGAGTACCGCTCTTCCTTTGATTCTAAACAAAGCACTGTTAGGGGAATATAAATTGAGATCTGAGATCAAGGATTTTTAAGTCTCTTGGTTGGTTAGTAAAGATACTAAGAGATTGAATGGAAGCGTTCCTAATCTGTTGCATATAATTTAAGTAATCTTACATATCAAGTTCATTCAACCAGCCAAATGACATTTCAAGAAAGACATTTGTTTACTTGCGGGATTCAAAGACTGGGTGTTGTGCTGTGATTTGTCTATCTTATGAAAAACAGCAAGTTATTTGGTATTTTTTTTAAAGGAATATGATCTTGTACTGGCCGTTTACGTCTTGATTAATTTATTGGGTGTTGATAATATTTGAGTTTTGTGAATTTAGATAAGCAGTTGTAATGATGGGTTGATAGAGCTACATAGCAGATCAACTCTGAGCAGCTAGGGATCGTTATAGGATCTGACTCAAACATAGAGCATCAGAGAATTGGTCATAACTGAACAGCTTAAAATAAATGTGCCTTCTGTCTACACAATATACCCCCAAAAATGCAGACTGGCGAAAATATTGACTTTAAAATATCAGGACAAATGGAGTTTGTTTAAGCAAAGTTAACTAGACTAACTCTTAACTTATAACTCAACAAAAGAATGGCGAAAGTATGGTGGGGTCAGTCAGGAAGAATGAATACAATCTAAGTATTTTGACAATAATACCAATGCCAAAAAAACACTGACGTACGTTTTACTCTGATTATCACCAAAGTCACAAAAACTAGCAAATTTCTCAGTCAATTTCGGAATCGCTTGCTGTCTATCTTGTGATCAAGTACCATATATCCTTGCCAAAGCATGTGAGTCAAGCTTATCAATGTAAAGTCGGATTTACACAAGGTTTCCTTCATGGACTAATAATACAAGGTCGATAACTAACTATTGTAATCACAGTATCAATATATGCATCTAGTGTTTGAAAGTCTACAACAAGGAATGTATCTTGATGGAAAATCTACCAAATTATTCACTTTAGCTTTTAATCTACATGTAGCTCATAAAGCCGTCATCCGTATGCGGTTACTCAGTACGTTCAACTGTATCAATAATAACTCTGTGAAGCTGGGTCAACATTAGAGCCAACGGGCAGTTCAAAGTCAAGTCACTCAGAAAGAAACTAAAACCGAGAAAGTCAATGAATTCCTACTGGTTTTGCGCTAATTGCCTTTTTCTATCACTTTGCTGGTATTGTAAGCTGTACATAGATGATCGAATCGCTAAAAAGAACGTCGGTAGCTCTCCTATCTGTTATACTTGTCCAATATTTTTCCTTTCTGTTATAACATTGGGGAACCATATACTCCTTTGTTGATATACACTTATACAGAGGTAAGTGAAAAAGATCTGAGAGGTCGTTGGAGCTTAAAATAATTTTCAGTTTAGAGTTGTGGAGGTCTTTGAGCTCCATTTAAATTATGAAGCAATCAGTGTTGGACTATCATTCTTGGTTTTTCAATTATAGCCTAACACTAATTGGTTCGTGATTTAAATTAAAATAATTTGTTGTTCCAAAACGATTTCAGTGAATATTTTTAGGCCCAGTGTCTGCTATAGGCTACTTTCAGGGGACCGAAATCACTGAGTAATTTGTCGCAATACGATATAATTCAGAAATCAGAAATAATGGACTCAATTAGCATAATAAGATAAAAATGTTTGAGTTTTCCGGTAACTCGAAAATTTAAGTAAGCACTTGGATTGATTGGATCAATATTTTCAGATTTGACAGTCTTATCGCCTTGATATTGATAAATATAACCTTAATCTTAGATATTTCCTAGGTTATCTGGTGTGGGATGAAGTGAATGTATTTCGACATATTCGTTTATATTTTTGTATGCCAGCAACTAAGAGTAAAAGGAAAAATAGATGCTATAAAACGTAGAACCAAAAAAGGAATCCACAATAACTGGAAGAGTTGTGGCAGCTACATCATTTTTGCACATTTTTCCAATCGAATGTATGTCCATAATTGTCCATATAGGGGAAGAAATGTCGTGGCGTTTGACTGCTAATCGATATTTACTCTGGCGAAGCTGAAAAGGACGTTCACTTTTTCCGATGTAGTGTTTCCTGGAGTTTGAACAGTTTATTTTGTAAATGATATTTGGTTTTCTTTCGTCAATTAGTCCATTGGTTTACATGTGATTGATTGAAGTGATTCTGTTTGTTAGTGTCCTTCACCCATTCCAAGTGATTTCAGTAATCGTGCTGTAATTTCTGATGTCTATTATGTAGAGTAGGATGATCCGTCCGTTTGTTTCTGTACTTAATTTCGCTTCTGTTAATGGTTTTAGTTGATATTTTTGATGAAGCTGCGTGGATAACCGTTCTTCTGGAAGATGGTCATCAGATATTTTTCTTCGTTTTTTTCTGTGCTTCATGTGTGCTGCAATGTGTTAACTGAGTTAAACCGCATACAAGCTTTGTTCCAGAGAGTAAAACCTCACTGCACCTCACTTCAAATCATTAGTTTGTCGATAATTACTTTAGGGCTACAAAAGTTTTAGGCAGCAACCGAGTAGTTACGTTCATTCTCACTTAATATTTATGGTTCATAGTTAAGTTTATAAATCTGGACGTAAATATTCTCTTAATCGAAACATATTTTACAATCATATTTTGATACAACTAATATACAAATTAATACAAATTGTTTCTGATCCACATTTCAACAGTCTGTCCGTTGGTCCAGAGAACGAATAAGGTATTGAGTGTATATGCATTATGCCGTTACATTAATTTTTCTAAAATGTGTAAGTTCTAATTGAGCATTGGGAAAACAACTATGAAGTCCAAGCTTTACTTGTGTTTATAATTCTAATTAAGGACTTATCTTATTAGATAGTTCATTTAAACTATCCACAAGGTACTACAAGATAGCCTGACTAAAGCAATAAAGTGGAAGTTTAATTCAGCAAACCTCCGTCTCTTGTTTTCTAGCTAATCTATGTTCATTCCTTAACTAAAGGGTCAATCATCTGGTTTTGTCACATCTATAAGTATCTATAGATTCAGCTGCTCTTGTGGGTAAAATTATATTGGGTGTACAACTAGACAAATGAGCCAACGAGTTGGTGAACCCCTTCCTTGCTTAGTTAGCAAGGGGTATACTCAAAAGTATACACAGTTCCGTCTTATCAAACTTGATCGTCAGCAATCATGTAGTAGATAGTCAGTTGCAGCGTAGAACTTCATGCGTCAGTACATCAGTTCATGTTGCCATACCACATTAGCACAGAGACGCAATTATCAATTCAAATCCCATAGTGGCAGAGATAGTAACAGTACTACTGGTAAAGGAAAGGATTAGCGTTCCAAGATATTATTGAAGAAGTATAATTCAGTGAGATAAGGTAGAGGTGTTGACGAATCCAGAAAATTATGATTTGAGAGAACACAATAAATGAATGCACTTGCGCCATTGCAAACGATTTTGAGCCATGTCATTCTAGGTCTCTGACCATCGGTTACTATCGTCTCGCGGACCCTAAATGTAGTAGACAAGTTATTCGAAGTAATTTATTGTATATTTACTAGCTTTTCTTATAGAGTTATACCTCGTTTCCTACACAGCAGAAGCTATAGGTATTCTAGCTATCAATCAAAGTCCTTTGTGTTCATGTGAACACCCTTATCACTCCTTTTGTTGAACTAGCAGTAACAAATGGTTTTGTTTATTATTTTCTGTATTTTTTGTTCATTTATTTCTCTTCACCACCTCATTTCAAGTATACCCTTCACTATCAAATTAGCTGAACATTTCTTACTACGTAATTTCATTACTTTTAATCAATGTTATTACAGAGTATATTTTTTTCCGATTGGATGACCTACTTCCTATTATGAAAAATCGTTTTTAAACCATTATTATTCTTATGCCAACTAGTATACGTGTCATCATTCTAGAAATTTGTACTTATTGTTTATTTATATAATTTATTCCACTGTTATCAATGACGCATAAACTTCGTTGATATTAGTTGAATGATTTCGGATATGCTTATGAAAATGATTATACATTGAAGTAAAGTCTGATGGAAGATCTAGTTGCAACAATACTATTCGTTCATATATGTCGTTCTTATCCACAAACAGTTTCTGATCATAGTTGACTGTCTTCTTTTCATCCATATTTTCTGTCAAAATGAAGAATTTTTAATTACTTTATTTTCTGTAGGTGACAATGTAAAAATTGAATTTGTCTATGTACCTTCTCATTTATATCATATTTTGTTTGAATTACTAAAAGTAAGTTTGTATCTTGTTTATTTTTCTTTGTATAAATTCCGTCAAAATTGTATATTTTCATAAAGATAAATGATTTATACAAAAATTACTGTGAGTGATTGTTTTCAATATCCCTATACTAAAATGCTGAAAATAGAGATAATCTGTAAATCATATTTATTGGCGAACGAAAAATGGTTATAAACTTACAGAAAAATATTGGTACTGAGATTCTACAGCATGATATTGAGCAGACTGAATTTAATGTGGTTTTTCTACTCTAATATCATTGTGGTAATAACGTACTAAAGAGCAAGATAAAATTTCGCAACCCAATGTGTTTGTTAATACAGTTTTAGATAGCACAGAGTACAGATCGAAACAAATAACTAGTGGATACAAACAAAGTTAGGGATGAAACTGTACTGTTTGTCGAAAGCCATGAGCATTAGTGTGTGCGAACGAGTTTGAATAAATGTGAAATAAATAGTATGACAGTGATTCCTTCTGTATCATGTGTTGTGTCATAATACCGACCGATACGCAAGCAAGTACGAGAAAACCGACACACTAAACTCGACGATTGACCCATTACTAACTAACTCCAAACGAAGAGGAAAAAACATAAAATCAGTGATCACTAGTCTGGGGATCATGTATATTCATGCAACACCAGATCACTCAGCATGCCAACTGTATTAGCATGGAACACCATTAATGCTATGAAAAACGGAGTACTACAAATAATCAGTTCTAATTTATAGGTGGAAACTACCATAACAACAATTTACGGTTCAAGTAAAAGCTTGGAACGAGGGTAATATGAAAATAATGGTACAAAAATAATAAACATACAATCAGTATATGAAAAACTTAAGCAAGAGGGCTTCGAAAGTTTACCTCATGGTTGAATCGTCTCTCACAACACCATGATTTTGCTACACCTTATAGATAGATGGCCTGAATTGGTTGGAAACCCTTACTGACAATTCAAGATGATGTTTAAGTCTTGGGCTACCTATCTTTCTTTGTGATTGGAGAGGCCTTTTGTAAATATTTGAATATCTTCAGCATCCACGTGTTGTTTATTAAATGTATCATGGACAAATATTACCATTTTAATCTATAAGTCCTTGATTTATCTGTACTAGTTATTTGGTTCTCCCCACTGGTGTTTACGGTTGCAATTGGTCAGTCTCTTTCGGAATATGTACATCCTGAGCGGGTTGCCTTGATATTGCCATTAAGTGACAAACCTTATAAGCAGAGATAAGTGATGGCTAATAATGGAATCCAGGACGCGCGTTTCATCCTACTTGGGACTGGTCAGGTGGATGTACCTGGGCCCCAGATACCTATGTTTTTAAGTACTTGATAAGTCGATTGTGCTACTAAAGGTAGATATAAGAATTTCCGAATGGATTTATTTCACCACAAGAACACGGATTCACTTTCTATATCCTCATTGCCCGAAATTTGTCCTCTATTTACTATTTTTGAGAAACTACAAATTCCTTTGGTTGAACTTTGACTGACATCCTTTCAATTCAATTATTCTATCGTTTAATGTATAATATCATTAGTAACATTTTCAAGGTATCGTGTAAAATCACATAAATGGTCGCTCCTAGGTAGACAAATACAGAGTTTAAAGTGAACTGTTTTCATTACCAGCAATCCTGGAACTAAAACAAGCCGGGTTTTGAAATTTAAACAATCTGCTAATCGTCTAGTTCACTAATTGATCACTGTGTTGTTATTCGTGTGCTGGAAATCTCATTTTAGGGTAATTCCTATCTTATTATACACTTACGTTTATGAGTTAAAGCAGCTTTTGCAGTACTGTTCATACATGTAGGATTACTATTCGGTGTTTGCGTTAATTTACATTCCTTACAGAATGCCATGCGAGCAGTGGTAGAGCAGCATAGTAAGGCTGATTATCTTCCACCTGTTGAGGTCTTGATAGCAACTGGTCAAGAAAATGTAACAATCAAAGTAAGAGTGATTCAAAATGATTTAAACGTTAATATTCATTTTAATGTATATTATGATGTGTTTACCAAAATATCTGCATGTATAGCCAAAATTAACTATTACTGAACGACTGACAATCAATATTCATTAGTCCAAGTTGCCACACCACGTCACTCGGACGAGATAAAATTGAGATAATGAATATCTATATAGCCAGAATAATTGTAGCAGCAATGTCAATGGGAGGGACTAAACATTGTGAGTATGATTTGGTAATAATAATATCGTAGCGTCTTTAAAAACGAAACGGATTGTTTTGCATGCAATGTTCATCATCTCTTGGGTACATTGAAAGAAATCATATAGTGTTGTAAGAGAAATTGACATAATTTACGTTTTTGCATTTATTCACGAGTGTAAGATAACTTTTGCAACTTCATACTTACCAGTTATTACTCAAAGGTTGAGGTGCCTTGATTTAAATTGTATATAACTTCTTTTTGGCTTATGAGATATCTTGCAGTGTTAAATTCGATATTTTTGGTTGCTAATTTATCTCGGAATGATTAAGTTTTTTTCGAAAACTGAGCACTTAACATTACATCATACGGTTACTTTGAAAAACCAATGGCTGTTGGAAATCAGGACTTTTGGAACAGCTTATATGTTGTTTGGTTTATCATATTTATCTATTTTGACATAAACATTGGTACAAAAGGTTACTAAAATATCTGTGCTCCACGTAAAGATGGGATTATGAAGAAATGAATAAAAAAAGGCTGGTTTACCAAGGAAATGAACCAACATAATTAGGAACTAGTGTGAAAAAAAATAGGAGAAGCATTTCAGTTAAAGAAATTCCTCTCATTTATATAAAGAAAGTAAAAGCAAGTTACAACAGGACCATCGCTAGTTACCACTCCGATTCATGTTTGATAACGTTTCAAACCACCATATTGCACCAGGGAGTCGTGAGGGACCAACAGATGCTATTGCTGTATAGCTTTCCTTCATACCGCGATGCTATGCCTTACAATGATAGCCTCTCTGATGTATTCAACCAGTCCTAGTGTTGGCAAATAATGCACGATGTGGAATTCGCTAGGACGATATTCATAAAATATGTCTAGGCCACCGAAGTTGTTGTTTTAACATGTGGACACTAAATTTTCGTCACTACTCGAACACACACTGCCGAACCTCTTTATTACTAACATGGTGTTGCCACTAAATATCAGCACTTCTTAGGAGACGATGATTATTTAACACAAAGAGTTGCTTAACATCTTGAACTTGGAGAGTTTAGATTTTTTAAGCATCGGCATTGCCGATATTAAAGTCTAATGAATTGAAATGAAGAGATTGAAACATTGACCATGTAGTTTATTTCCTAATTTGTGTACCAAATAGTTTTCGTAAACGAAACATCGAGTAGTTGAACTAATTTCTCCACTGTGATTTGATTTCGTGGGCTGTAGTGAGGTATAATTTGAACATATAATGATTGTATCGGTTTCACATCTTGTAACGATGACTCAGATGCACTGAAGTAGTGCGTTTACTGACATTGATTTACCGTCATTCAGGCTGTTAGCATATATAAAATATGGAAAGGAACTTTATGAAGTCTCAATATGTTATTTGAAGTTCAGATAATGTAATTTTATTGCAAAGTGTCCTTGCATTCATCACTATTACTATTATTTGTTTGGATTTCACTGCTCGTTCATAATCCATGGATTGCGTATGACTAATGATCAATTTCTTTGAGTATTCTCATCATTTATAGTCATATTTTAGTGATCTCTTAAATATACGGTACCCTATATTTCAAGCAGTGCTCATCAGTTGGTGTCACTGAATTGCAATGGTTGATAACCAATGACAAAATGCTATCATATGGAGCGATTGAGTTGATCTGTTTGATACTAAACTGCTTACTGTCCAGATACTCTTAGCTAGTGAAAAATCATGATGAACAGTAGTAATATTATTGCTGATTTTTTGGAAATTTTCAAAATTAGATTTCTGATTTGGGTGGTGGTATCCCACGGTCTCAAATGGATTTAGTTTTCAATTACACTTATACAACTGCCCGGCAAGCTGAACGATGCGGCGAACCATCTTTATCGTCGACGGAATTTGGACCACCTGGTCACGCAACCAATGCTCCAATGGCAGGTTATGGTTATGGTCTTCCACTTAGTCGATTATATGCAAAGTATTTCAATGGTGATCTTATATTATCCAGTGTAGAAGGCTACGGAACTGATGCTATAGTATATCTAAAAAGTAATGCTGCTGAAGCTGATGAATTACTTCCTGTCTTCAATCGTACTTCTGCTAAACAATATGAATGTGCTGGTATCCCGGTTGCTGACTGGTCTAATCCTAATATAACAACTGGTTGGCGAAGAAATTAAATATGCTTTTACTACATTTCATTTTCCCCATAATTAAAAATTTCCTTATTGGCATTTTCCCCTTTTTTATGAATCATATTTCTGTAGTTTTCCATTTTCTCTCTCTCCTTCATTGCCGCTAGATTTTGACTTGACAATAAAACACAGCTAGCGTCAATACACAGCTCATATTAGTTCATTGTTTGTAAATTTTAGAATTTTAGAAACTCCTTTCGTTTTCTTGTGAGGATATTGCAGAAACAGATTCAGTTATTTGAATAATGCTTGTGCATTTCTGTTTCTATATCCTCACTTTTTATGTATTTCAACTTTAATTCTTATTGAAGTAATCATACATAGTTTATACTTTCATGTATAGAGTAGGATTTACTTTCATCGTTACATTAAATCTGCATTTCTTAATATCCTTTTACTTATTTTTATTTCTTATTCTCAAGAAAAATGTTTCAGATATTTAAAGGAGAGAATACAAGAGAACTGAATGTCTTGAAATTTTATAACTGACATCATTTTATTATCATTTAGAAAGAAAAATAATCATATTATTTTCATATTTTCTCCTTGTTGTTGTTGTGGTGGTTGTTTTTGTTTTGTATCTTGTTTATCTTTTCATCTGTCTCATTTCATTGTCGTCAACTTTACGGTTTTGACGAATAATAATAATAACAAAACGAATATAATTCAATGTGTATGCTAATAAAGATCATTGAAGTGTGTTTGATCATTTGTTTAAATGGTGTTTATTGAATTGTAGATTATGTTCATTTATTGATAACAACATGTACATCTTTTTCAGTTTGAAATAAAGATTCATTTTGTCAATGAATAACAGTCTTATATTTTCTTGTTTTTTAATCTCAAAATTTTACTGTCAGTTTAGACTTATATGATGAGTAAAATATTTGCAATGAATAGCTTTTTGAATTCCCCTCTGTTATTATGTGTAAATTGTTGATAATATGTATTTACAGAATGAATATTTGTGGCACATTTTCATTATGAATTAATTTGAAATGAATAATCATTGAAAATTGAAAAGCATTGAAGAATTGTTTCATTTTGGTTAGATGATTTTTCGTAGTCTAGCTTATGATGGTACAAGTTACTTTTAATTTTTAATAAATTCCTACAAACTACCTGTGAAAAATGGAATAAACTTACCTAAATAGTTTGTTTATAGAGATATGTTTTCATACTGCTCAGGTTACATAGATATAGGAAGATTTACTCAAAGAACGTCAGTCTGATTTCAATGGATTTTTAATGCTACACAGGAATAAAATGATTATGATTGTTTTTTTAATGAATTCATAACCTGTTAGTGAATTGAGTTTTTTTGTTACTTCATTTTTTTCTAAAATGGGACTTGATCGAATCAATGTTCTATTATTGTAAATAATTATCTATAATTATAAAAAATTTACTGCAATTAAATAGTTCGATTTTTAGTTTGATGTAAATGGTTCCAAAAAGATTTAAAGTGTTCATTTTTTGGTAGTTAGACTCAACAGTTCTATTGTACTAAATAGAAATAGTTCATATTTTATTATAAAAAATTTATAATGAAATTATTGCTTACAAAGTAATAGTAGTATAATGTTCTGAATTTATAAATCAGTAAATTTATCGGTCTTCACGTGTTCTTACTTTAAAAAGTTGCAATTAATTTTTCTGAAAATTAATCAAGTGTAGTTGGTTAGAACAAAGTAATTTTTTAGTGAAATGAACTTTAAACAACTACTATCGAATCAATCTGATGAGTTTCCTTTTATCGTAAATTATTTGATGAGTGAAAAAAAATCAATTCAATCAATTAGTAGGTGGTTTATAAAAATATCAAATCTTCAGTGTACTGCTCTATTCTGTTCAAAAGCTTGGTGTTATTTAAACAAGCTGAAATGTCAACGTTATTAGTTACTCTGAAACAAAACTATACTTGATAAAACCAGATATTAAAAAAGTTCATTTACAGCTGGTATGATATATTTTATTTAAAAGTAAAATTGTATTTATTCCACATTAACTTAATCAGTACTAAAGTAGAAAAAAAAATGCGCTCGCTTCATTCTCATCCTTGAATGTAAACTATTCTTGTTACAAGGGTATTTCGTGTACGTAGAACTATCGAAGAATAAAAATTATGTTCTTGTTTAAACTGGAAAAGGTCGCAAGTTTCATTTGACTCTATTAGTTGTTTGAGTCATGATATACGTGTATACTCTTGTCAAACAGTTTATGAATTATTGTTAGTGGACAACTGAATCTAAATCTGTTTAAACTTCCGTACTCCTTAAAAGTGTGCCTTATATGTTGTCGATTACTGGTAACTTGATGTTCTGAATATTTAGTTGATTGTAAGAGTATCAAATTCTCTAGGTTTAAGAGTTACAGGCTTCTCGGGGAGTGATTGATAGTTGACATTATATTTAAAGTCTGAGGCTAAAACGTAAAAGTTCTTGCATCGAGCCTTTTAAGTTTGACACTATCGTCATCAATATGATGGAAGTTTCAAGGTTAACGAGTTCTCTGTGTGGATTTGAAAGATCATCAAGTGTATTTTAAAACGATGATTTTTTGTAAAATACTAACTGAATATTATACAGTGATGAAACTGAGTATTTAAATCGAATAATTTACCATTCTTTAAAGCAAAGATAATTGACAGAAGTGCAACTCTGACTTTCTGTCTGGAAAATGGGTTCCTACTGAACATAATTTTTATGCACCAGATGGTAGAAAAGTATGATGAAGCAACTAATACTTGGATATTTGATCTAAATCATATCTGGCTGTACTGATGTAGTATGACAGCTTCAGTTGACGCACATTTATACCAGTTACTTATCGGTTATAATGTTTTACTCCCTTCTATGTTAGATCATTAAGTTCATCAATAACTCGAGTGCAATTTTCATAACCGTGGTACTGATGAAACTGAGTATAAATCGTCTAAAGTTTAAAAGTTGTTGGCTTTGCTTCTGATTGCACCCATGCATGTACTATGATCCTAATTAACCAAGATTCCAAGTTACCTAATTTAACATAATGATTACATTAGACATTTGAATTTAGTTAAGTCTGAACAATCATGAGGATTTATTATTATTATATCATTTAGTATGAAAGTTATGGTTGATGACAGTGTTATATATATATCTTCAGATAAATATATTCAAAGTTATTCTTAGCGCTCATGTTATTTACTTGATGGACGTATTAATAATCATTATATTACTTTATTAGTTTTGTTTTCAAAGCCATTAACTGTTGTTAAAGCTTAAATATATTTATACACCATAATAATTGTAATTTCATTTATTATGAGAAGGCAATTTGACTGTGTTCTGATGACAAACCTGCATCCTAATCGAAAATAATAGATGTAGATCTTGTATTTTGAAGCGTAATGTTTCATTCGGATTTTTCATGATTTCATAAGATATTAAAACTTATTTTGATCTACAGATGTTAGCGAATCGATCTATCTGATGTTAGTTAAACCTGTAAGGACATCAAATTATTGAACAGACAGACACGTAGTGAGACAGACTGACCATCTATTTTAATCTTGGGATAAAGGTTATATTAATGACGATAATAAGAGAAATCTAGCATAACTTCCTGTCTTGTGCTTGTTATTGAAAATATTTGTCAAACAACGTATAACAACCATTCTTATTCATCCCTCTAAACCTAAAAAGTGCATACGTTTTCCTGGTTATTAGCAAAATTATTTCAACGACCCATAACTTATGTTTTAGAATAAGATGTTTTTGATCTGAATAATTTCCCGAAAAGTTGTTAGCTTTCAAGGGATAGTAAGCATCTAGCGGTTTCTCTAGAACTAGTTAAAACATGAGATTATTTACAATATACTTAAGCTAACTAAAAAGAATCTCTGTTTAATTCTTTCAGTATTTTTGCATTTAACAATTTGTAGATACTAGAGGAATTGGTGTGCAATGAAAACATTTGATTGTCTTAAGTGGACTGACTATTCAACCAATAAGAAGTAGCTAATATCTGAATGAGTAGTATCTAGGAAGTTTCGTTCTTTTATAATTAGTTTTAGTGTAAACAGGCATTCTTATCGACCATGTTTACAGACTTGATTTCTCAACTGTATCAAAGCAACGTTGCTTTCGTAAGTTGATTAGAAGAAACTATTTTAAAGGTTTGAAATTAGGTTTCTTATAGCCCATCACTCATCAGGAAGTCTGCTGTGCTGTCTTAAGGGAAATAACTTCAGATAGAAGTGAAGTATTCACGTTTCTCAATGTATGACTCAGTCTGTCTTGTTGACCTCAGTCTTGATTGGTCGTTATTGACCTTAAACCTGTCACTGTCTGCCTCTTTATTTTGATCGTATCCCCCTTTGATCTGTTTCCTGATCCTATGTTAGCCTACGATTTTTCTGATTGGTTGATAAATTTGGTCAATGTCGATGTGTTTGTTGACTGCTGATTGACCTGAGTGCCAAGCTTCTAAAAATTCTCTGGTGTTTCAACATTTTGCTGATCAAACGAATGCCCATTGTTGTCCGTGTGTATTGAAATAAGGGAAGAAATATGGCGTTTGACTGCTAGTTGATATTCATGCAAAGAAAGCTGAAGAGAACGTCCACTTTGTTCTATGTAGTGTTTTGCACAGTCTGAGCAATTTATTTACATATGATATTTGGTTTTTCTTCCTTAGTCATTTTGTCCTTTGGTCAACATAGGATTGACTGAAGTGATTATTCAATTAGAGTTATGAAGATTAGTGTTTTTTGATTGATGATTTCAATGAAGTGATTATGTTGGTTTGCATGCTACACCGATGCTTCTAGTCTCTGCATCACAGCTTCCGCGATAAGTTCTGATATCGATGATCCCATTGGTGTTCCCATTGTTTGTTCGTAGATCCTATTGTTGAGTTAGAAATACGTTGTTAAGCATAAATCGATGGTTTCTAGGAGGCTTTGACTCTGACTTTTCGTATATTTTTGGAGATTTGTGTTATTAGCGAGGAGCAGGGGAATAGTTTCTTTAGCTCTGGCTCTGTTGAGGTGAATAAGGGTGTTACATCAAAGGATATCATCCTTTCGTCTTTGTCAATTTGAATCCCTTTGAGTTTATCCAACAATTGTGTGGGAGACTTATTTCAGTAGTTGAATGGATCCACCAGATGTTTCAGTATCCTGGAAAATTTTCTTGATATATTGTATGTTGGGGTTCCAGGGAATCGAATTCGAATTATTCACATCTGTCTGAAGTTTGTGCTAATGTTGTTCACAAGAACAATGAAAGTTCCACAACCAAAACATTCAGCTGAGAGAATGAGACTCCATCACAACCATCCACTTGAGCTACAAATTTTCTTCACCATCTCAAGATCATATGTGTAGAATGTTTCATTGGCATAGAATGATTATCATTTATTTATCAGATAAAAAACGATAAGCAATAGACGAAATTAAAGACTACTAAGCAACCGATGAGACTTCACTGCTGTAAGTAATGTTAAGTTTTCTATTTTTGTATTTAGTGTATCGTCAGTAGGTTTGCATATCGTCAAACTGATCAAGAATAATTTAAATTTTAAACAATCCTGTGAACAGTTTATTTCTATTGGTTATTTGAATCTCCCCATTGATATTTAGGACTGCAATTGATCAGTCTCTTTGCTCATGTCGACTCAGTAGCTAAGTGGATAACGCTATGGCGTTTGAGACAAACTGTACTGAGTTAGTCCTAGGCTGAACATCAACTGTAAGATCCAGGGCGATTTCACTGCCAGCTAGTTATCCTAATATGTCGTAGGTCTGTCGGTAGGTCTTCATATTCTGTATACAGAAATTAAATTATTTAGTTTAGAATGAATAATACGAGCTTTTCCTCTAATCAGATTTAACTGATAATCAATCAAAGCTTCAGTACAGTTGTTTTGTACTTTATCGTTTTGTGTTGTTGAGATCCAAAAATAAACTGTTGAGTCGTTAGTCTT